GATTCACCGTAAGCCTTCTGTAACATCTTCAGCGATTCGGCACACGAAATTCTATTTGCAATACAAAATTTGAGACAAATTCTTTGTTCGATCTTTTCATTCATTGTAAAAATCGCAAAACACACTTGAGATGAACTGATAAAATCGAGCACGATAATCACATTAAATGACAGATGGCACTCCAGCTCCGCGTCAGTATAGAGGACAGTTATGCCAACTCTTAGCGACAAAAAGAATTTTGACAATTCCTTTAAGCGGGCTTTTTAAATGATCAATTCCCGATACTTTTTTGACAGAATGTATAATAAACTTGGACAATGAAATGATACATATATACGTATATTTTATTAAATAACGTGACAATATCATTAGTAGATAATTAATTGTTTAAAATATTTATATACTTTTATATTTAGTTTTGTTAATTTTATATATAGCAGCTTTTAGCACTGATCTAGCGTAGTGTAAGTGATCGAATTTGCTATAACATATTGTTGTATATGTAATGATAATTTTTCGATTTAACTTTTGGAAGAAATCACGATGACAAAAATTTGAATCTATAGAATCTGATAACATAGCAATACTGAAATTTTTTCTAATAAAAAGTTTTCTGACAGACGAGAAACATCAGAAGTAATGATGTAGTTCCATTGCAGGCATTTAAACAGAAGAGAACTTCCACAGAATTGTTATTAGGAGTAGTAGGATTGCGCTGAATTCAGCATCTACAATTCCCAAGCTATATACGTCAAGGAATAGAATGTTAAGTTATAATTAGTCGAATAAACAATTTTGAACTAATTTGTGTTCCCATTTCTTTTAAGACGAGCGTCGTAACTCATGTGGATTGATCGATTGAGATGGCTGATTCGTATAGGCATTAAATGTGAATACCATACAATAAAACATACGAATTGACGGCACATAGTCGGCGAGCCGATATCCGGTCAGGTCGTAATGATAAACCCAATTTGCATTCTGCGTGGTGCGACCATGATTTAAACGATTCTGCTGGCTCGCTTGTCGTAGGCGTTGCGATTCGACCAGTCCACTTCGAACGGGTAAATAAATGTCCGTCTGGCAAATTGAATCGGATATTCCTGCTTCGATTTCGTGCAAACGGTGCCGAATTCGAGGGTGCTGCATTTGTAACGCATATATGCCCGCGCGAATTCGATCAAAGCTATCATTAACAAAGCGAGGACAGAATGACTTTAATAATACTACTTCACAAACATTGAGAATTACATGAATAAAAGCTAAATATTCTTAATATGAGGTAGAAACATTTATTTTGAAACAAAAATAGAGGTATTATTCCACATTTTGTATAAAATATTTATTTTTTACTTTTGCTACGAGATATTTGCATTGTACTTTGAAGTATTTTTACGTAAATACCATCGTAGTCAGAGCATATTTATAGCACACTCACGCAAGTACGTAAAAATTATAATATATAATTTATACATGCATCTTTTGCATATTTGTGTGAAAAAAAAAGTTTTAATCAAGTGTAAACAAAAGTTTTACTTGTACACGGAAAGAATGATTTTGATGAAATATCTAAAAACTTATCTAGATTGATACAGATTTAAAAATAATTTTGTTGGACCATCAAAAATACTTATGTAGAAAATTCAAGCATAATGAGTAATATTGTAAAAATGTTGATTCTAGCAATAAGTTTGAGCATCCATAATTATTTTGATAGTTCAAAATTATTTTTAAATTTGTATCCAGCTAAATTTTTGTACTTTGGCAAAACTATTCTTTCCTTTATAATATTTTAAACATTTACTTGATGTGAATAATAGGAATTCCGTTTCTATTTTATAATCTATTTTGTTAAAAGGCTCCATCATTATTAATAATAATAGCTAAAATAGCTAAAAAATTATTAGATTTTTAATGAAATTTGTAATAGCGATAATAGAAACTAATTAATTATTGAATAATAATATTGAACTAAAAGATTATTATTATAGTAATTATTACATCACATTGTTATTTAATTTACTGAAACATATTGTTGATTATGTATATATGCATTGACGATTCTGTGTTTATGTCGTAAACGGTGCGATGCATCGATGCATCGAGATACGCGGTTTGCACGACGAACGGTATTGAGGCCAATCGAGTTGGCTGGTCGCCAAACATGGAAATATATTAACATACGAATAAGTTCAGATATCAGTCGAACGGCCGAATAACGCGTTTTATAGCTCACCGCATCCGTATATCGAGCGGACTTCCAGTTCTACTGCCGATCTAGTCCAAACCAGTGCTGAAAAGCACGAGACTTCTCGCGTTTGCAAGTTTGCAAGCGTAATCCTACCTCTCGGCAGCCATCGTTTACAGATGACACGATCAAAATTTCCGACTTCTGTGTTTACAAGTTAAATCGCTATTCATTCTAATGGATTGGAGAATATCGACCCAAATAGTTTGAACGTTTTTGGTAAGGAACAATTTTTTGTCGAATATAGATAACAAAATTTAGGAAACTAAATTGCAAATTTTTGTGATACTTTGTTAAAAATTTATTATATTAACATGTAGAAAGAATTATTAAAATTTGAAATCTGAGGTTTTATCTAAGAAATTTTATTTGCGGAAACATTAAAATTTGAAGTATAGAATCTAAGAAATTTTATTTGTAGAATGTTTATAAAACTTAGTATTTAAAAATAATAAAAGTTAGAATTAAAAAAGTTAGAGATTGAAAAAAGCTTTTTAGAAAGATTAGAAGAACAGAAAAATTAAATAAAATTTGAAAATAATTTTAATTTTTCAATAGTGGCAAAGGTGATATCATGGCCAGTGTAGATATTGTGTTTCCTTAATATCTCCACTTTTATAT